TCAAGTGGATAGGTTTCTCATGAACAATCATTCTACATCACCTAAACTCAAGTGGATAGATTTCTCATGAGCAATCATTCTACATCACCTAAACTCAAGTGGACAGGTTTCTCATGAGCAATCATTCTACATCATCTAAACTCAAGTGGATAGGTTTCTCATTAGCAATCATTCTACATCACTTAAACTCAAGTGGAAAGGTTTCCCATTAGCAATCATTCTACAGCACCTAAACTCAAGTGGATAGGTTTCTCATTAGCAAGCATTCTACATCACCTAAACTCAAGTGGATAGGTTTCTCATTAGCAATCATTCTACATCACCTAAACTCAAGTGGAAAGGTTTCTCATTAGCAATCATTCTACATCACCTAAACTCAAGTGGATAGGTTTCTCATGAACAATCATTCTACATCACCTAAACTCAAGTGGATAGGTTTCTCATTAGCAATCATTCTACATCACCTAAACTCAAGTGGAAAGGTTTCTCATTAGCAATCATTCTACATCACCTAAACTCAAGTGGATAGGTTTCTCATGAACAATCATTCTACATCACCTAAACTCAAGTGGATATATTTCTCATTAGCAATCATTCTACATCACCTAAATTCAAGTGGACAGGTTTCTCATTAGCAATCATTCTACATCACCTAAACTCAAGTGGAAAGGTTTCTCATTAGCAATCATTCTACATCACTTAAACTCAAGTGGAAAGGTTTCCCATTAGCAATCATTCTACAGCACCTAATCCTCAAGTGGATGGGTTTCTCATTAGCAAGCATTTTACATCACCTAAACTCAAGTGGATAGGTTTCTCATGAGCAATCATTCTACATCACCTAAACTCAAGTGGATAGGTTTCTCATGAACAATCATTCTACATCACCTAAACTCAAGTGGACAGGTTTCTCATGAGCAATCATTCTACATCACCTAAACTCAAGTGGATAGGTTTCTCATTAGCAATCATTCTACATCACCTAAACTCAAGTGGAAAGGTTTCTCATTAGCAATCATTCTACATCACCTAAACTCAAGTGGATAGGTTTCTCATGAACAATCATTCTACATCACCTAAACTCAAGTGGATATATTTCTCATAAGCAATCATTCTACATCACCTAAATTCAAGTGGACAGGTTTCTCATTAGCAATCATTCTACATCACCTAAACTCAAGTGGAAAGGTTTCTCATTAGCAATCATTCTACATCACTTAAACTCAAGTGGAAAGGTTTCCCATTAGCAATCATTCTACAGCACCTAAACTCAAGTGGATAGGTTTCTCATTAGCAAGCATTTTACATCACCTAAACTCAAGTGGATAGGTTTCTCATGAGCAATCATTCTACATCACCTAAACTCAAGTGGATAGGTTTCTCATGAACAATCATTCTACATCACCTAAACTCAAGTGGACAGGTTTCTCATGAGCAATCATTCTACATCACCTAAACTCAAGTGGATAGGTTTCTCATTAGCAATCATTCTACATCAACTTAACTCAAGTGGAAAGGTTTCTCATTAGCAATCATTCTACATCACCTAAACTCAAGTGGATAGGTTTCTCATGAACAATCATTCTACATCACCTAAACTCAAGTGGATATATTTCTCATTAGCAATCATTCTACACCACCTAAATTCAAGTGGACAGGTTTCTCATTAGCAATCATTCTACATCACCTAAACTCAAGTGGAAAGGTTTCTCATTAGCAATCATTCTACATCACTTAAACTCAAGTGGAAAGGTTTCCCATTAGCAATCATTCTACAGCACCTAAACTCAAGTGGATAGGTTTCTCATTAGCAAGCATTTTACATCACCTAAACTCAAGTGGATAGGTTTCTCATGAGCAATCATTCTACATCACCTAAACTCAAGTGGATAGGTTTCTCATGAACAATCATTCTACATCACCTAAACTCAAGTGGACAGGTTTCTCATGAGCAATCATTCTACATCACCTAAACTCAAGTAAATAGGTTTCTCATTAGCAATCATTCTACATCACTTAAACTCAAGTGGAAAGGTTTCCCATTAGCAATCATTCTACATCACCTAAACTCAAGTGGATAGGTTTCTCATTAGCAATCATTTTACATCACCTAAACTCAAGTGGATAGGTTTCTCATTAGCAATCATTCTACATCACCTAAACTCAAGTGGACAGGTTTCTCATGAGCAATCATTCTACATCACCTAAACTCAAGTGGATGGGTTTCTCATTAGCAATCATTCTACAGCACCTAAACTCAAGTGGATAGGTTTCTCATTAGCAAGCATTTTACATCACCTAAACTCAAGTGGATAGGTCTCTCATTAGCAATCATTCTACATCACCTAAACTCAAGTGGATAGGTTTCTCATGAACAATCATTCTACATCATTTAAACTCAAGTGGATAGATTTCTCATGAGCAATCATTCTACATCACCTAAACTCAAGTGGAAAGGTTTCTCATTAGCAATCATTCTACATCACTTAAACTCAAGTGGAAAGGTTTCCCATTATCAATCATTCTACAGCACCTAAACTCAAGTGGATGGGTTTCTCATTAGCAAGCATTTTACATCACCTAAACTCAAGTGGATAGGTTTCTCATGAGCAATCATTCTACATCACCTAAACTCAAGTGGATAGGTTTCTCATGAATAATCATTCTACATCACCTAAACTCAAGTGGACAGGTTTCTCATGAGCAATCATTCTACATCACCTAAACTCAAGTGGATAGGTTTCTCATTAGCAATCATTCTACATCACCTAAACTCAAGTGGAAAGGTTTCTCATTAGCAATCATTCTACATCACCTAAACTGAAGTGGATAGGTTTTTCATGAACAATCATTCTACATCACCTAAACTCAAGTGGATATATTTCTCATTAGCAATCATTCTACATCACCTAAATTCAAGTGGACAGGTTTCTCATTAGCAATCATTCTACATCACCTAAACTCAAGTGGAAAGGTTTCTCATTAGCAATCATTCTACATCACTTAAACTCAAGTGGAAAGGTTTCCCATTAGCAATTATTTTACAGCACCTAAACTCAAGTGGATAGGTTTCCCATTAGCAATCATTCTACATCACTTAAACTCAAGTGGAAAGGTTTCCCATTAGCAATCATTCTACAGCACCTAAACTCAAGTGGATAGGTTTCTCATTAGCAAGCATTTTACATCACCTAAACTCAAGTGGATAGGTTTCTCATGAGCAATCATTCTACATCACCTAAACTCAAGTGGATAGGTTTCTCATGAACAATCATTCTACATCACCTAAACTCAAGTGGACAGGTTTCTCATGAGCAATCATTCTACATCACCTAAACTCAAGTGGATAGGTTTCTCATTAGCAATCATTCTACATCACCTACTCTCAAGTGGAAAGGTTTCTCATTAGCAATCATTATACATCACTTAAACTCAAGTGGAAAGGTTTCCCATTAGCAATCATTCTACATCACCTAAATTCAAGTGGATAGGTTTCCCATTAACAATCATTCTACATCACCTAAACTCAAGTGGACAGGTTTCTCATTAGCAATCATTCTACATTACCTAAACTCAAGTGGAAAGGTTTCCCATTAGCAATCATTCTACAGCACCTAAACTCAAGTGGATAGGTTTCTCATTAGCAAGCATTTTACATCACTTAAACTCAAGTGGATAGGTTTATCATTAGCAATTATTCTACATCACCTAAACTCAAGTGGATAGGTTTCTCATGAACAATCATTCTACATCACCTAAATTCAAGCGGATAGATTTCTCATTAGCAATCATTCTACATTACCTAAACTCAAGTGGACAGGTTTCTCATGAGCAATCATTCTACATCACCTAAACTCAAGTGGATAGGTTTCTCATTAGCAATCATTCTACATCACTTAAACTCAAGTGGAAAGGTTTCCCTTTAGCAATCATTCTACAGCACCTAAACTCAAGTGCATAGGTTTCTCATTAGCAAGCATTTTACATCACCTAAACTGATGTGGATAGGTTTCTCATTAGCAATTATTCTACATCACCTAAACTCAAGTGGATAGGTTTGTCATGAACAATCATTCTACATCACCTAAACTCAAGTGGATAGGTTTCTCATGAACAATCATTCTACATCACCTAAACTCAAGTGGACAGGTTTCTCATGAGCAATCATTCTACATCACCTAAACTCAAGTGGATAGATTTCTCATTAGCAATCATTCTACATCACCTAAACTCAATTGGACCGGTTTCTCATGAGCAATCATTCTACATCACCTAAACTCAAGTGGATAGGTTTCTCATTAGCAATCATTCTACATCACTTAAACTCAAGTGGAAAGGTTTCCCATTAGCAATCATTCTACAGCACCTAAACTTAAGTGGATAGGTTTCTCATTAGCAAGCATTTTACATCACCTAAACTCAAGTGGATAGGTTTCTCATTAGCAATCATTCTACATCACATAAATGCATAGTTGTTACAGGATAGCATTGGTCGGATTTGAAATCTGTTTTACTAGACATCAATGCAAAATAAAGTTAATTTCAAATTCGAATACTATTAAACTAACATTGACAAAACCAGCTACATTAAGGAATGAATTCAACCCCAGTGCTAGGTAAATCTTATATATTTTCTACTCCACTTTGAATGCCTACATTTTAATTTAAAAATACTAGCAATTTAAAAGCTCTAGGTCTTGCCAAGTTCAAGTAACAATCTTTTATTTTGCAAAAGAGCTAAACAGTTTTTTTTTCTAATATAATATATTTGCTAAGAACGAAAGATATTTACAAACAAATTTAATCAAATCACAAAAACTCGGTCATATTACAAAAGCACAACTTTATCTGAAACAAAACTCAATCAAAGAATACTACTAGATGTTACAATTATTTTATCTGCTGAGTCTCAAAACTGTAACTAGTATTTAAATATCATAAAAATCTTACTGTTTATGTATATTAGACCCCACAAATCCTTATTTGTATTTTTACTGTACCTTGTATCTGTAGTGAAATATACCCTGGATCACTATGAACAATAACATGATCGTTGTGCAGCTTTTTTTTATTTGAAATACGTCTACCAAATTAATCAGAAATAAACAATCATGTGAAAATACTTTATCCTGAAGGAAGATAGTACTTGAACGTTTCAAATGCGAATAACACAGGAAACAGACTTTCTAAAAGTCATCAGGTTGATTTTATCAAGTAGCGACTGATCATCATCAGATAAAGAATACCCTTGGTGTGATCATAATAGTTTATTGTTAGCCTTTAGAGTCAAGTACTATATACTTGACAATGAAACACAGACTGAGATGTATATTCGTATAGAAAAACCTCAAACGTAAAAAAGATGATGAATATGTTAATAGATGTCCTGCTGTAATTAGTTGTTTGATATACTAATTCAAGACATCAATGAAAATTAATTCATTTTGTAGCAATATTATTTACAAAATATACTTAGCACTAGTCAATCATAGTTATCCAGAAATACAGCCCGATCAACATAATTGTATGAGAATTATCCGAAATACATTATTCCTCACCCTTTCGTTTCACAAAAGTCATTAAATTTTATCTGAAACTCACATATAAAAAGTCAATGTTGTTACATGTACTAGCATCAATTTTACATATTCTGCAGCATAAACTCAAATCAAGAAATCTTGATGATTCAAACTATCAATTTGTTTGAAGATTTTTTTGCAGATATTAAGGTGGTACCTAACACTACAGGGAGACAACTCTGTAAAATATTGAGTAGTTTAATCGATAGATAATCATGAATGAGAAGGATATTCTTGTAAACATTAAAACAATAACATCATTTTTTTAGGTAAAAATTAACTCACTGAGGTTTCAACTCCCGCAGGCAAAGTTTACCTCAGATGGATTTGGCTATTTTAGGTTCTTTTGGTCATATAGCTCTTCAACTGTTTCGGTTTTTAAACACCCTTGGCTTTCAAATATTCGGCTTTGAGTATCCTGATGAAGGTTAATCTAGAAGAGCGCTTCACACGCATTGATTTTATAAAGTGTTGTTTTCATTATTTATAGCACTGGGTCGATACCTTTGCTGGTACCCAATGGTATTACCAGCTCAGTAGTCAGTACTTCGGTACTCACATGATTTGAAACAAACATTTCTAAAATTGTTCGTATATAAATTTTAAATTATAAAAAAAAGGAGGTTTCAACTCCCTCAGGCTAAGTTGACCTTAGATGGATTAGGCTGTTTTTTTTAAATATAATTTTATCTGTTTACAAAAAAAAAAGGTGGAAGATACGGAATGACAAAGAAATTTCATAAGTAGTTGAGAAAAGGACAAATAGATGACAAAACATGAAGAACGACGAGAAGAAAAATCACAGGCGTGAATGAATCATATTTCATATATCAATTCACGGAAACATAAAAAAAAAAAAATGGCTTTGTTGTATATTCAGTATGCAATTCATGTTATCAGATAGACGATAATTTTCATGCTCAAAATTTCGCTTCTGTTACTCTATTTTCATAACATGACATTACTTATCTAACAGAGCAGAACATGGTTTCGATAAACAAGTTTAACACCATATATTATATTTAGGCCTGTTATATTATACGCACAAACTAAAAATTCTAGCAATTACAAGTATAAAACATCAACCGGACAATACAAAAATATTTGCCACTGGATGTTAAGCAACCAACAATCGATCACTTAAATCTTATGTTTAAATTAATATAGCTGGGTTTTTTTTCATATCCAGCTTGATATAAACCTATATAAAATGGTAAAGATGTGTTTTTGTTTTGTTTAGTATTTGTGTTAATATATATGACATAACTATTCATAAAGAAGGGGACACTAGCTTTGCAAAGAAGGACATATACACAGATTATCAATCTTAAAGAGACTAGACATGTTAAATAGTTATTAACTAATATGTTGGAAAGATAACTGGAATAATTAATCCAAGGATATGTTAGATTATACGTCACTAAAACGCCAACCTGACAATAATAAAATGTCAATATAAAAGGATTTAACGAAAGAAAAAAATAAACGATAATTGATTTGACAAGAAACAAAAGGAGTGTTAAGAATCACAAAAATGAAACATAACAAATCAGACATTACTAGCATACAAAAAAGGCACAATTCAATACTAAAACATCAAACTAGAACAACACGAAGTCAGTGAAACAATTTAACGCACGGACTAATCAATACTTTATTCTCTACTGGTGTCATCCGTCGATTTGTTTATGATAGGCAAAATATAGTGACAAATTATTAACAACATTGTTAAATGTTATACCTAGCTAAAAACCCAGCTTGTATGGCAGTTGTTTATAAAAGTAGTTGTGATTACATCGTTCAACAATCAAAATAATAGACAATTGAAAACAAACTGAAAGTGAAAGCGTTGTTTTTATAAAATTACATACATTATAGTAATATTATCGCATTCTGTTACGTATGTAGTAACACGCATAATGCCACGTAGTCAATAATGAAAGAGATTTGTGAAGAAAAAAGGGACTCATCGATAAAAAAAAATGTGAGACACTCATCCACCTGCAGCGTAAAAGGCAGTCATCATTGTGTTCCAAAATTATAAAATAAGGTGTACAAAGAATTATCACAACTAATAAGGTGATAAAGCTTTGACAATAATAGTTGTAATAAAAAATACTAGATGGAGATTGCCTTAATTACGACATGTTGTAAAGTTATAATTGTTATATGAAAAAGTGTCCGGGATAGTTCCGCAACCGATTATGAGTAACAGTTACTTATTGTTTATCGAGTACAACTAGTCTTCTTATTAATACCCAAAATCAGTAATGTACACACATGACTGATATGTCCTGATGTGACCTGCACAGGTACAAATTTTACAACTAATGGCCCCTTGTTTTCTTTCTTTTATTTTTCAGATTTGAGAAGAAAAAGGGACTACTTGATGAAAAACTGTCACAACTAAATTGTGAGACACTCATCTACCAGCATTGTTAAAGGCGGTCATCCTTGTTTTCTAAAATCATAAAATCAATAAGGTGTACACAGAATTAAAACAATTTATAAAGTAGCATCTTTACTGCAGAAGTTAAGGCGATAATTCTGGCCTTGCAGTTTATTGCTACTTTTGAAAAATCAAAGTTTATTATATGTTCTGATTCGCTAACATATCTTCATGCAATACAAAATACCAAAATTAAAAACCCGTTAATTCTAAAAATCCTTTACGTGATGAGACATTTGAGTAATAAAGAATTATATTTCTATTGGTGCCAAGTCATACTGGCATTCACGGAAACACAGTTGTAGATCAGGTAGCAAAGAATTCCCTGACCGACCCTATATCTAAATGTGAAATAACATATACTGATTTTAAATCTAATAAAATATGTTTTAGATGTATGGAAAAACGCTTGGAGTAAAAGGAACGACAATAAATTGCATGAAATAAAACCAACTTTATGAAAACCTTTAAACAAATTTATAAACAGAAAAGATAAGTGTGTTATTTCTAGATGCCCTATTGATCATGCTAGAAATACACAGAAATATCTTTACAAAAATGAAATTCAACCAGTATGTATACCTTGCGATTGCAAGTATACTATTAAAAACTTTTATGTGAAGGTCTTTCCACATAAAATTTCTAAATAATTGACAAGAAGCTACTTTCAGTTTACTCAGAGTTACTATTGGTGTCCAATCATAAGTTTCTTCATACTGATTAAAAACATTTGGTTTTTATAAACAGTTGTCTGAAATAAGAGATATTTTGCTACTTCTGGTTTAGAAAATGTCACTATCGGTCTCATATGATAGCTTTAGTCACATTGATTCCAAAAATATATGGTTAATATATACTTTTGCTTGACATAAGGATGATAAATAACAGCTTTCGGTTTAAAAAACATCACTTCTTGTACCATATGATAGGTTACCACACATTGATTCTAAAATTATATGGTTCTAAGTAATTCTAAATGAAACCAGTTCAGGAATTGGCTACTTTCGGTTTACAAAAGGTCACTTCCGACTGACCTTTTCAAGGTCATACATTTACCAACCTAATGCATAAGACCTTATAGCTTTAGCATGTAAAATATGAATTTGTTGCAAAGGTCAAAATCTAGAATGTCATATTTACCCTTGACCTTGAACTAAATTTCAAGATCATAAAACAAGGACCTCAAATCGAAAGACCCTAGGTCTCTACTGTATATGGTTAATGATTTATATCACAGCTAATTTTAAATATAAGAGAAAACTCCTATTAAACATCAACGTACCCTTTCAACCTAAATGTATGTGTTGCAACATGTCGCAAAAAACAATTTCGTCAAATATAATGTCGATATCTTTTACGGTTTCTGAGGAAAAGCCAAAAAAAGCCATAATCATGACCTTTAACTTTCACCGTATTTTTCATTTTTGTAGACCCTGGACCTCAAATCAAAATACCCTAGGTGTCTGTCACTTATGATTTACCAGTTACAAATACATTTCAATTATATTAAATATATAAGGGAAAATTACTCTCGTATGGAGTCTCTAGATTGCCTCGGTCAAAATTGATTTTGACAACCTGAAGATGTAACGTGCAATTTGGTCAAAAAATTTTGGCAGGTTCTTTTACGGTTACGAGTAGCAATCACAAGGAAAACAGTGTTCGGGGAGATAACTCTTACAAGGAAATGTGTTTTTTTAAACAGTGTCAGTTTCAAAAGCGTAAAAACTGTTCGATATCAAATAAAAAATATCAAAGCGACATCTTGCGGAATAAAATCGTCTCGCAAGAAATAAAAGTGGCGGAAGAAAAAACAAATAAGAATAATCAAAACAAAATCAATAGGTCTTTCAACGGAAAATTAAACATATTTTGATTGAATGTTGACTTTTCCGATATCCGAAAAAAAAACATTGTTATATAAATAATGTAAATAATATGTATGATTTATTTAATAATATTCCTGTTGAAATAATTGTTTCATTTTAAAAAGAAATTTGAATATATTCCAAATTGTTGTAT